AAGTGAACATCTTCACTTGCTGCCGTGAGAAAAAAAAAAGGCACAGTGGTGATATCTTCACTTGCTTGCCATGAGAAAAAAGCAAGTGGACATCGTCACTTGCTAGCTGTCAGGGCACAGCCCCTGACCCCACACACCCTCAGGTACCCTTCCCCCATTTTCTCCTATTTTTCCCTTCACTGTTCCACAATCCCGCATGCATGCAGACTGTGGGAACGTTCTGGGCGAGTTACTCGCCCAGAAACCATCACAGCCACAACCGTGGGAACTTTCTGGGCGAGCAGCTCGCCCAGAATCTTCCCACGGGGGGTACCAATTATGGAAAGTCAGCAAAGAGCTGAAAACTGTATAGTTCCTGGCTCCCATTTGTAGCGGCTTCACAGGAGGTTGAAGGTTACCCTTCATTTCCTGTGTGTGAGAAAAAAAGCAAGTGAACATTGTCACTTGCTGCCGTGAGAAAAAAGCAAGTGGACATCTTCACTTGCTTGCCGTGAGAAAAAAAGCAAGTGGACATCTCCACTTGCCTGCCGTGAGAAAAAAGCAAGTGGACATCGTCACTTGCTAGCCGTGAGAAAAAAAGCAAGTGAACATCCTCACTTGCTAGCCGTGAGAAAAAAAGCAAGTGAACATCCTCACTTGCTAGCCGTGAGAAAAAAAGCAAGTGAACATCGTCACTTGCTAGCCGTGAGAAAAAAAGCAAGTGAACATCCTCACTTGCTAGCCGTGAGAAAAAAAGCAAGTGAACATCGTCACTTGCTAGCCATGAGAAAAAAAGCAAGTGGACATCGTCACTTGCTTGCCGTGAGAAAAAAGCAAGTGGACATCTCCACTTGCTGCCGTGAGAAAAAAAGCAAGTGGACATCTCCACTTGCTGCCGTGAGAAAAACAGCAAGTGAAGATGTTCACTTGCTGCCGTGAGAAAAAAAGCAAGTGAACATCTTCACTTGCTGCCGTGAGAAAAAAAGCAAGTGGACATCGTCACTTGCTAGCTGTGAGAAAAAAAGCAAGTGGACATCGTCACTTGCTGCCGTGAGAAAAAAGCAAGTGGACATCGTCACTTGCTTGCCGTGAGAAAAAAAGCAAGTGGACATCGTCACTTGCTTGCCGTGAGAAAAAAAGCAAGTGGACATCGTCACTTGCTAGCCGTGAGAAAAAAATCCTACTATGCCATTCAATCCTACTATGACGGTAGTCGAGCCACTTGACTTTCAGAGCCAATTCAGTCCTTTCCATTCAATCCTACTATGCCGTGGGAATTTTAAAATCAATTCAGATCATAGTAGACCTACTATGACGGTAGTAGATCCCTTGGGCCACCACTCGTATCTCCCTCAGTTTTCAACCGTTTTTCATGGGGTTTTTTGCAATGGAATCGCTCAAACGACCTCTCCATCTTTTATTATTACACCAAGATAGGTCATCTAGTACAATTGTTAACATTGACACAGCTCCCACGGCTCAGAGAACTGCATTGCTTACGTTAATTAAACTGAATAGGACAATACAAAAACTGAATAGAAGCATACATTCAACCTGACTTTATTATATATTATATATATTATTATATATTATTATATTATTATATATAAAGGACATGCATGCACAACGTTGCACTCAAATCACGATACTATTCCACCATTCATGTGCAAATCAGCAAGAAAAAAATCTTATATTGCTGCGCCATCCAAACAATCATGAAGCGCTACTCGGACGCTTTCCAATGCATGTCGAATCGCCAAAATCGGTCGAGTTTTGAGTGAGCAGTGACGCAAAAGATAGATAGAAAAGACAGAGATCTTGTATTTTACACCCTCTAGTGTAATATCGAGTTCGACTCTGGTTCAGCGACTTCTGATTATCTTAAGACTTTGTGAGTCTCTTAACCACTTGAACTCAATCGCCGGCGGTCCCTCACATTTTGTAGGTTCACCGTGTGCATCCGCACCTGCTAAAGAGTAACAGGAAAATAGAAACACAAATGACCGAGTACAAGAAGCGGGCAAAGCACAGGGGAAAGATTGTGAAGCAGGTCATGCAGCACTGTTCTATTTCAATAGGATTAGAAGTCAACACTACTACCAGGCTAGTACCCTCCACTTCATTTTTCCAGTTGGATCCCGGATGTCTCTGGTGGCGTAGCGCGTTAAAGTTTCCCTTAGCTCACGAGGCGTCACCAGTGTTTGCTGGTGCCTTAACCAATTGCCTGCCACACCCGCAACCCATGCAGCTGACATCACAGTGCCACTCATAAACCCCCACGCGTGGTTGATCGTGGGAACGGGAGCATTGATGGCTGAGGCAAAAAGCTGAACTGCACTTCCATAGTTGGAGAACGCTGCAATCTGATTCCTACAATCAATACCGCCAACAGCGATAGAGCGAAAAGCGGAAGCAGGACTGACACCCGATGTGTCCTCGTGGTGGTCCCCTGCAGGGACTATAATGTGCAAACCCTCGTTGCCGGCAACATTGACGGCGTAATTAAAAGTGTAATCGAGCGGGGAGATGGCGGTTATTATTAAGACGAAATGGGGTCGGGTTGAGTGGATAGAACTCGTTGGGTAGCCCATTCGAGGGCTAAGATTATGTCGCTCGTCAGTGCCTTGCCTAAATCGGAGAAAACCTTGATCGGAACAATGGTCGCCTCGGGTGCCGGGCCATAAAATTTCCCCGCTGCCCTCCCGGCCACCTTCGTGCCATAACCGTTGGTATCAACCCAGGGATTACCGCCATTGACGGCCTGCGCTCGCGGGCAGATATGGGTGAGCATGTATGACAGTGCATAATGAGATACGCACAAAACCTTCAATCACACGGGTCCCTGTCCCCTGCTCGTTCATAAAGGCGGAGTGGGATTGAATGACACCGGTAGACATGACCCCAATTTCCACTGGCCGCTCAGAGCCGGGTCCTCCGGGTTCACCTGGGTCATTCCTTATTTCGGCTGAGACATCATTGAACTCTGTCGAACGCCCCCCATTCGCGTCATGAAGGCCATCGTAAATGGAAACTATGCCGTCAGCTTCGACATATTCAACTTCGGGGCAACCGAAAATTCGAGAAAGGGATGCTCCAGTTGCATGTGCAGAGTAGCCATTCAGCCCTACGATAGTTGGCCTATCTACGAGGCGAAATTCCCTAATATCAACTTACTTTTATACCGGTGATTGATTGAAAATTTCGACCCAGGGCTCCGGGCGGATATCCGAGTGATACCTTCGATATGATGTTCCATATCTTCACCAGATTTCAGCACGCTAAGCAATGAGTCAGCCAGTATTATGCTATGCCGTGTGTTAGACATACACAATGTACGAGTCGGGCTTTACTGGACCCTTCGGCTTGGTACGAACAGGAGCAGCAAGGGCCATTGTGATAGTGGAAACGAATTCAGCAATGGGAATGACCATGGTTGAGAACTTCATTGTGAGAGCACAAGGAAGACTGAGAGGACGTCCGAAGAGCCATATATATAGTGTATCAGCACAATGTGAAACCCGGTTTTTGCCTTGGTCCGCGCAACGCGCGACCCGGTGGCAAGCCGGGTTGGTCCCGGGAATAACCGGCGAACGCCGCCTGAAATGGCCGAACATGCCACTCTTTTCGCCTTGCAAGCCTGGTCACCATCAACGTTGCCATTGGCTGAGACCTCACCTGAATCCTCCCGCAGTTGTTGTTATATTTTTCAATCCACAATCGCACTGCAAACTGTGAACTCAAAACTAGGGCTCCTACCAGATCGGATTGATCCGCAGATTGATCAGGCTAATCAGCCAGGATCCGAACCATACCAGTCAGGGACACCTACTACTCGTGACCCAATGAATATAAAATGGTATGTGGGGGTTGCTGGTCAACCAACCTTCTTGGATAGTGTTCAACCGTCTGAGTAGCTGCACTGATGCTCTGGTGCACTGATGGAAAAATATAGGTTTTACACAAGGGCCTGAAGGTGTCAGGGCATGGCCTATCTGGCTACCCTGACCCCCTATGCCGGAAGGAGAGAAGCTGTAAGCTGATCCGGGTTGATCGGAAGAATGCAGGTAAAATCCCTCATTCTCTCATGCCACTATCTTCCACCACGCATCACGCATTTCCCACATCTTGCTTATGATTACCCAAATGTATTAGTCTTCTTGTCATGTTATTCTTCCTATTGGTTGCCATGTACTGTACTCACACAAGGATCATGGGGCTGTGTAGTGGTGTCATCAATCATGAGTAAGCAGGCTGGACACAGGTGTACTCTGACAATGGTGCCTATGTCACAATATCTCAGCCATTTTAATGATTGAATGGTAAAAACGACTTAACTGCCTTGGTCCCACGCCCAAATCACAATCTGATTCCGAGGCACTTTTGTTTTTTCTTCCATTCAGTTCGACAATGAAAAAACAAAAGCCCTCACCCACATGCTGCCTAACCGCATTCGTCATTGGGGGTCCGCGATGCGGCTGCAAGCAAGCCTGAAGGGCTTTTGCACTGTCAGGGCACGGACGGTTATCCGGCCGGCCCGGACCCCTATCCGGATAGGTTGAGTACCCGTAAGCCGATATCTGCGTGTGATTTGCCGTAGTTAGAACACAGGCTGTATTCAATGCGCTATTTCCGCTATCGCGTCATCCCTCACCCGCTATTGCCCCCTTATCCGCATGATCTATTCTCCTATTTCATGTCGCTTCTCTATCGGCTACCATGTGTTCCCAATGTAGCCGCGCTCTTGTGAGTTGCGGAACTCATGTATATAAGGCCTTATTGCCAGCTGGGTTGGCCCCCCAGCTTTTACAACGACTAGTTTCCCGGGGAGATTCTTACGTGCGAACTGACGCGCGGACTCTGACATGCACCCACCTTGGTTGAGGACGAGGATGAGGATGAACCAGTAAGGACTCGTGTTAACTACCTTGCCAGGCTGGTTCCTCGGCTGCTGACCAGCCCAATCGACAGGACCGACGCGCCAACGTTACCTGTTGCATCCCCTAAACAGCACCCGATGCCTGGGATTCCCAACACGTGCGCATCGGACTTCGGTCTTGCATGCATGGGCAGGGTGAAACATGTGGAAGGAGACACCAGAAGTGAGTCCGTTCCCCAGAGGCTTCGCAGTTTTTGCCCATTGAACACGCTGTAACTGACTGGCCCATTTACGTTCGCTGTAGATCTTGTATCAACGATGCATGACACTGCACTAAACCTGCTGACGCTGTACGCATCCCCTATGCGTCACCTTCGACTCTGAGTCCGATCGGAAACCCTCCATGACCGTCTGGAGATCCCCTCACCAGTGCATCTACAACTCAACGACGAGGAGGACTTTCTTCCTCTTCCCCCCGTTCACCCTCTTCCTCTTGTTTGAGAGCTAACTTTTTTCCATTTACATTCACGCTCCGTTCTGCGAACACAATGCCGAGAAGTTTACCACCTCTTTGTTGCCTTCATCTACCGTGTCACCCTGACCCTTCCCTCATCCTCGGAACCGCCTCCATCAGACTACTGCCCCCATTCCCACCTGCTAGCCTCATCGAGTCTATTTTGCTCAACTTTTCTTATTTTTGTATATAATAAATTCATAGTTGATTGACAATGACATTGCTAAGAATGAATTCTATTTGTTGGCAGAGTGGAAAAAATGGACCGATTCGATTTTCGCTGAACTCACAATATTACAAACTCAGCAGCACCCTGACAACCCCTGGTAGCAATGAATTAATTGCAAGGAGGCAACGCAGGAGCGCAAAAACTTGCCAGGACTTGCGAAATTTAGCGGAGGAGCTGGAATTGGGCATGAATGTGTACCTGGAGTGCCGCTACCTTCCCCCCAAGCCTCAGGTCTCCATGTGTCGAGAACCTCTCGATTTAACCGCTTTTCTAGGAATTTTGAATGAAGATCAGTGTTTTAACCGTTTAACCAAAATTTATCTATAGATTACTTGGTTAAACTTTATGTTTTAACCGGAACAACACTCGATATGGATGAATTGAATAAATGGTTAAAATACAGGCTTCTTTTGGATTCTCATAATCAGCAAATTCCGCATCCGATGTCAGTCTAAGGCCAGGGTTGGCCCTCTACATTTTTAAGCACAATTAGGCTTATTCCCACACACATATCGCGCTTGCACTTCCTTCTCTTACTCTGCTTACTTCTCATTGAATTCACGCGCCCATGGCTCCCTGGACTCACCCTCTCAACTTCTGGGCTTGCTTTTCACGTCTCCCATGCCTGCACACGCTTTTTTTGGGAAAAACTCGCGATATTCACGTGCACGCAATCTTGGAAACAAACCACTAGCATAACCCCAGTCTCTCCTCATGCATTATTCACGCGCTGAGGCATTCTAGACATGCTATGGTGCACTCTAGGCTCTCACTCGCGCTTTTAAACTTGTATTCGCGCTCTCTAGCCATTCCCACTCGAAATTCACGTGTGCACACTTAAAAACACGCGCTCACACACACTCGCGCCGTCTCTGGTATCATCGCACCCGTTCCAACGTGTGCACTTGTATTCCAGACCCATACTCGCGCCCTCTAAGCCCCCTGCATACACACACACGCGCCGCTTTAAGAGATGCGATGTACTGAGCTCAATGCACCCTGGCCACCTGCTGTCATTGCCCACTCCACTGTACCCAGCCATCCACCCTCACTCTCATCTCTTGCTCTCATTCACACTGCCACCCCTCACTCCATTGTAAGGAGCGAAGGTTATGCACCTGGGACTTCTTTTCATTCCTTATTTACTCCGATGTACATACAATCATTATTGTGAATACGACTTCATATTGTTTACTAGAAATGGCCTGCTGTGCAGCCTTGACCTTGCTTGTGACTAGGCTTCTTGCATCCGGTTGCAGCTTTTGTTTGGGTTGAATGACTCAGACATTATGTTTGCAACTTGACCAAAATATCTCCACAACATAAATTAACTGTGGTATCAATGTATACTTTGAGACTTTTGTAAACAAAGGGTGTGGAGGATGGGAATAAAATGAGAGGGAAAGTGACATTGTACTGGCCATTGATTGCTGGAGACAGTGTTGAAGAGGCATCGGGCATGTGTCACGATGTTGTGGGGACAACTCCGTGTACCGCAAAAAGTCGGATTCTGCAGAATTTGGTCACCAACATGCACTACATATCCGCTGACGCTCCCGATACTCATTCTATCACTATCCAACACTCCATACACTCACTCCATATTTTTCCATATTTTCCCCATCATTCCCGACAGCCCCAAGCCAAATTCCCACGCCCAACCACGCCGCCAATTTCACCCCCTCTCCAGATCTCCATAACCACACATACAACCCAGCCATTTTTCTACCCGTTGGTGATGCTATACCTTCCTCCTTTACCCATGGAGCACTTCCCAGAATGGCAACCCCATATTCGGATGGCTCAGCACGGTGTATAGCCTCACATGGTCTTGACAGCACCTGTCAATGGCCATATCTCAGGAAGTACTGCACCAATTGGGATGAATAAGAGCTCGTTGGAAAGCTGGAGACGAGGAGATTGCTGACGGGAGGATAGGCTGGCGCTGTGGCGAAGTGTTGCGGAGATAACTTTCACAATTCCCATTTCGGATCCATTATCATATGTTGCCCATTCATTCATATCTCTTTTATTGTTTCTTTGTTCCCAATTGGATATTCATCATTTACGGTTGCCTAACGGCCCATTTACATTCCCTCATTCCATTCATTCCATTTCCAACTCATATAAAATAGATAATAGCTTGTACATAACAAGTTAGTACTGAATAGACCCGTGAAGGGACAAGCAGAAGTTACATCCAAGAGATGCCATCCACGACCCTAACACCCCCTCTGAGTTAGTTGCTTACGTCTAAGACCCCTCTTATCAGAATCCTCAGCCTTGACGTCCAAGAGAGACATAGGTGAGTGTTTGTTTGAGGTTCTAGCAGACCTGGTAGCGCCCCAGGACCAAAACCCAGCCCCACAAACCACACCCGCGCACACTACAACCCTCCCCCTTCTCTCTGTCTCGAGTCTAGGTGATAGACCTGTTACAACGACCTGGCATATCTGTCACTTCTGTCAACGCTTCCTAGTGCCACTTGGCCCATCCCACCCGCTACCATCATCATCCATCCATCCATCCATCCACCTGTCACCCTCATCCACACTTCCTCCCCTGTGTGTACCTTCCAACCAAGGTTGCCCATTCGAGTGGTTCATTGTTGTCTGCCTGCCAGCCGGATGGCTTGCTAGATGTGTCAGAGACCAGGTTGAGACAAGGGAGTGTCTCCATGGCGGAGGGCTTCGGCCTCAGCGACTTATGCCAGGAGCGCTGTGCCAAGTAACATGTCCATGCCCTAACTTACTAAACTGGCAACCAGAACTGAAGGGGGTAAACTCTAGTCGATTTTATTACTGAGGTGTAA